TTTTGTTCTCAACGTCTTGATTTTGATGACTGTTCTTTGAGTCTCCATTTTCACTCTCTTTTTTTATTAGTTTTCTGCCTTCCTCATACTTTTCTCCTAAAAGTAAGTTCTTCTTCAGGTGTAGAGGCCAGCTGAATGCTCTTCCTCTTCTCTCTCTGTTCCACAGTTTCAAGCCGACTTACTATTTACCTCTGTAGAAATTAGGAATCTGTTTATTGTCTGTTCTCCTGTGAGCATTATATGTCAAGAATTTCTGAAAATGCAACCTTCTCTGGTTTATTCATCTTTTGTAAAACCACCTGAAGTGACAGCAGGTCAGTCCTTTTAAGATGTGGCAATAAGAATTGCTGGTAATTACTGCTTGCAAGTGTAAACAATCCTGCCCATGTGCTGAAGGGACCAAACTAATGCCAGCCAATTATAAGCAATGAGAAGAAAATCATAGTTGCTGGGCTGGTGTGAATGCTGGCAGCCAGGTAAACACAACACTTCACCTGGAAGAACTGAGCTGACTAATTCTCCCTTTGCTCATGTTACATGGCCTCTTTTGAATGCTTTCAGGCCTTCAAAGGGAGTCACAATCCACAATTTGAGAAACATTGCTGGAGTATGATGAGCTTCATGGGAGACTTGTCATTAGTAGGAGAAAACATATCAAAGAGGTGGCTCAGTACTTGTTAAGGAAATTATATTTCTGAAATCCCTCTGGATCATAAATCATCAAAGGACAGTTTGAAACAGACCCACTTGCCTCTTCACACACAACTGACAATAATGTCCTATATATGCTGATAGAGCTCTCTTTTATCCTGGAAAGATATTAAAAGCCATCTGCACTGCATTAATGAAGTGCCAGTCTTACTCCTATTAAAGACAATGGCAGCTCTTCTGTTAGGTGGAAGTTTGCAGTGGTTTATAATTTTGAAAGCATTAGGATCCCACAGTGGGGTAAACTTTCTGCATGGAAAGCACATGAAACAGAGCAGAAGGCTTTCCTTAGCTTTCTTGGATAAAAGAAGCTTGGAGGAAACCCTAGGCCAGTGTACACTTCTGTTGGCACTAACAATTTTTGAGGATGGCATAATTAAAAGAGGAATCCTAGAGTGGAAGTGCACATGACCATTTCTCATCAAAGCTTTTCAGATGGGTCCCACACTGCTGAAATCAATGGGACATTCACAGGACAGGATGGAGCTTTAGTGCTTTGTTGGCTGCAATTCTCCATTGACATTTTTCTGGGGCTGCCTGAGGTCAGTGCAGTAACTAAGGATAAAGAGCAGCAAACTTCAGCTATCTAAGTAGTAAACTCAGCTACATTTTACTGCAAAACTTTTTAATACTGAAAATTTAGAGGAATTGTGCATGGATTGTAAGTAAAGATTTTGCTCAACAAATTAATTCCTTAAACTGTTGCTAGGTGTGGTTTCAAAACAGTTCTAATTCTACCAATATATCCTCTTAAATAACAATAAAACATGACTCTTCAAGGAATTAGAAATGTGTTTCAACAGTATCCTTTCTGCTGGCATAGCTTTGTTGGTTTGCTGTGTTTTGTATTAGTACTTTACATAGATACAAGAAAAATATTCTACTTAATAAAAATAAGTCTCCTATCAAGAGTGATATTTAATACAAATCACATCAAAGCTCTCCACCACACACTGTCAGTTCTTAGTGATTTAATAAAAAGGCCATCATCTGCTCTGTGCAAGTTTACAAGTCACAGCCTGTATGCAGATGCTGTGTACAAGTTATTGCATTGAACTGGTGAGGCCAATTACAATTTAGAATTGCAAATCATCTGTAGACAATCAGAGTCCTAAATTATACATTGTCATTAATTTAGCTGTATAAATCTAGAAATTTTACACTACTAAACCAGAGAAAAAACCTGTAATATATGGCCCATACATTGAGTCCATAAAGGGACTTTATAAATGGTGTTGTTATTTTAAATCAACAGAAACCAGGTAAATAAAATATCATAGTGGACTTTATAGGAAAATTTTTAGGCAAATAATTCTGTTGTTAGTATTAGATGTAGGCTTTTAAAATATTAGTAAAATGCAAAGGTTATGGCCTTATTTTCAGTAGTTTATTTTTATTCAATAAACAACATATATTTGCTATCAGAAAGTTTTGATTTAGCCTAATAAATAAATTAATTAGTCTTAGGGATGTGTGTGGATGTAGATCTAAGAACATTTTGAAGCAGATTATTCTACACAGTGATACCAACCACCGTGCTTTTTCTGGATCACAGTTTCATAATTTGAGGTCATTAAGGAACACAGCATGAGACATAATCAAATCAAGGCCTTTTCTATACCTGGAACACAAAAATCAAGACAGTACTATTTTAAAAATAAACCCAGATTTTGCTTGCAGCATGGTAGGCAGCTCCCACATTTCCAGGGAAGAGGAAGGGATTAATATTCTCTCTCTGCAGGTGGGAAGGCAAGTTACCACCCTCTGCTCTACACCTGCCAATGCAATTCAGGGTGGAAGGAGGGGAGGATATTCTGATAGATGAAATAAAGAAGAGAGGAATCAGGGCTGGAATTCTGCTGCTGTGTTGAGGGATAATGGCTGATGTCTAGGACAGAAATGACCTAAGGGGATAGCCCCAGGTTATGATTAGAGTTGTTAAGGCATGAAGAGTGGGCTGAGTCTGTTTATTTTTCTGGTAGCAACTGGAGGAATTTTAACATGCATTTATCTATGGGGTTGTTGATTTTATCTGAATAATTTAGCGGGGGTGTCCACCACCCCTGTGAATTGCTTTAAATTTTTTTTTTTCTTACACGATAAATTTGTTCCAAAACAGTTTTTAAAAACCTGTCTCTTTTTACTTTTGATTCCTAGAAGTGGTGGGGCATATTGCTCTGTGTCCTGCTTTGGATTATTTGTATACATTTTGTGAATGGAAACTGAAATAAAGAGTGATTTTATTATTCTTTGCACAGCTTAACTGTGAAAAATATGAAATGCTTAGGACATCTCAGGGAAATTTTTCATTTTGAATGCCATGCTGATTTCTTGAACAATGAGAACAGGCATCATCTGTGGCAATCTCCACAGAGGAGCTCTTCCCTTCTTATCTAGTTTTTCCTGTCTTGAGAGAGTTTCACAATGAGCACTTAGTGCGAACAGAAGTGATGCAATCAGGTAAACTGGGCTGCACCAGGTGTAGGATTACGGGATGGTGATGGTGTTTGCATGGGCAGTGTCTGTGCACTCATCACTCCTGTTCCTGCCGTGGCCTGGCCTGCAGAGTGCACAGAGGTTGAGGAGAAGCAAATGTGTGCAAATGGCAGCCAGATATCTGAACAGACATTGCCAGCCCAATGCCTCAAAAGCCACTTGAAAGTTCCTTGGTTCTGTACTTTTTTTGTGGATTCCACATTTCTCTTTTTTCCCTTGAGAGCTGCAGCCCTGGGTTTATTCCTCCCCAGTGCTATAGGAGGAGGAAAGCGCAGCTCTTCCTGTGACATCTGATCCAGAGGCAGTCCATAGGGAGGATGAGCACTCCTTGAGGACATTTTGGCCATTATTTCAGCTTGCCTGTTTTACTCCTACTCTTCTGGTGTGTGGTATTGATATGACTCAAAATTGCTTTCCACTAGTCTCATGCTCCCATGCCTGGTTTCCCCAAAGTGTTGGGCTGTGGCCATTTTTTCTGTTGGTAATGAAAAGCATGAGTAAAATCCTTTAAAATAGAGTCTTCTTTTTTGTCATGAAAATATTTAAAACAGGTTTATACCATGCCAGCTGACTGTAATGTGTTACACCCCTCTGAGGTTTGGTTCATATTTTACCATTGTCTGGAGTTCCTTGTGGTTTTACCACTCTGTGAGGACAGCAGCATCCTAGTGCCACAGAGATGTGCTTTGAACACAGAGTGACATCCTGCAAGCCCCAGGGTAGGTAGATAAATAACTTCTGTATGGTCATAGCCTATGAAGTCCCCTTGATTTAATGCCTGTTTTGGGAGCCCTAGAGATGTGCTCCTTGTGTGGGACTCCTCAGCTTCCTTTTTTGCTTTTTAGAGACAAATACCAAATGCATACTGCATCTAGTAGAGCAACATGAAGCACCTAAAGAAGCATTCAATAGCAAACACATTCTGTAGTAAATCTGATGGTAAATCACATTAGCTAACTTGCTGCAAGTAGATTTGACTTGCTTGTTGTGGGGCATCAACTCAGACACTGTTTTTCTGCTTATTAAACTTCTTTTTCCAATTTTCATCCTGAGCGCATTCACAGCCATGCCCTGGGGTGGTTGCACAAACGATGTTTTAGACATGTAAATCTGACTAATAACACATCCACCCATGGCTGGCAACCGAGCACAGCACAAATCCTGACACCAAGGGATGATCTAATCCCTGGAGGTATCTCTGGCCTGAAGGAAAGCAGGAAGGGAAGGCAAGGCTGGCTTCTCCAGGGGGTGGCACTTAACTTAGGACTTGCTCATCTAGCAAAGCACTGGGAGAAGTGTGGGTCTTTCCATAGCCATGTCTGGTTTGTGAAACACCTCCTGTACCTGCAGTGGTAACAAGCAGTGAGTTGACTCCTCAATCTGGCATTGCACTGTCTGGATTTCCAGAGACCTCTTCATTTTGCATAAATCCATTCAGGTTTATAGATGGGCCAGTTAAGAAGCTGAAATTTTATCTTTGCCCAAAATGACTTTTTCCTGATCAGGAATAACCATCTAAAGGGGGAACCAGTAATTTGCTCCATCAGACACCACTTTGGAACTGTCCTCAGCATCACCAGTGCTGTGGCAAAGTGATGTCTGTGAAAGCAAAACTTTGCCACGAGGTGACCAAGCACACTGTATGTGCAAATCAGGAATATCTTCATTGAAGTCAGTAGAGTTAAAAATCTCAGGGCTCTGTTAAGTTGCATCAGCCTGTCCACCCCCTCAGATCAGCATCCAAGCTAAGAGAGAAGAAATATAGTTCTGATTCAGTTTCTGGTGTTGATTTTCAGATATGACTAATATTAGTGTAGAAAGATGGAAGAACCTGGAAGAGAGGACACACAAGAATACCAGCCTTTTGGAAAAAGCCCTTCATTGTCTCCATCATTAATGTCTTGTGACATGAGGTGGGTGTGCCAGGTTTTTGCCTTCATTAAGCATCATAACTGAAGTTGCACTGCACTGAGCAAAATAATACTACTCTATTTGTTCATGGATTGAAGCTGTGGTCTCATGTATTACCCTCTGGGAAAGTGCATAACTCTGGGAACTTGGCCATAGGTACAATGAACTTTCCTAGCCATTTTCCTCCTTTTCTTGGTTTTCCCTTCATGCACATTTCTTCTTGGGTTGAGTAGCAAGTAGTGGTGCTGGGTGGGAAGCTGGCCCCAGGGGTTTGGGATGCGCAGCCTTTCCCTCCCTCCAGAGCTGCTGCTAGCATTCCCTTCAGTGCCAATCCCAGCCTGCTGGCTGGGGTTTGGCAGGGAGAGGCTTCTGCTGCACCCTGTTCCTGGCAGGTACACTCTCCTTCAGGGCACTGCCTCTGGCTGTGCTAACAAACCCCTGTTTCCCATCAGCAGGCACCTCCAGCCTCTGCTTTGCCTGCCTCCTCTGCAGTAATGCAGAGAAGGAAAGGGCTCCCCGGTTTATTTGACTCTCTTTTGTCCTTTGCAGATGCTGTGGCACTAACCCAGACCTCATTTACACGTAACTCACTGCACTTGTCCCTTTAAATTATAAAGACACACAACTGTCTGTAAAATGGTTTAACAGGTACCTACAGCATATAATTAGCATTGCATGGGCTCCTCATCTGGGCTAGTACAAACAAGCACAGCCTTGTGGATACTGACAGCAGGCACAGGCTGGCTGAAGAAGAAAGCATCTGTATGTCAGAGGCAAAGTGGACAGGAGCAAGCCCTTCTTGTTGCTATGGGGCTAGCACAGAGCCCCCACAGATCTGAGTGCCCATGAGAACGCCCCATTTTCCTTGCAGACATGCTCCTAGACAGAGCCTCAGGGTTTTTACACTGACCCAGGGTTTCCAGCCAGTGGGATGCCCTGCTCAGTGACTGATCCTTGCCTGAGCTGATATAAATCTGGAAACCTGCACTGTTTCTACAGCACATGCAGAAATTAGCTATCCAGTACGTGCACAGCCAGCCTGAAAGTCCTGTGGATTTCAGATAGTGTTGTTCTGCCTGTGTGAGTCTCTAGTATAATAAGTCTGAAGTGTTCTGGATTCTAGATTTGCCCTGCTCATTTATGTTATTCAACAGAATTGAGCATGCATGCTAAGCCAGAATTGAGCATCCATGCTAAGCATGTCCCAGAGCTTCCAGATCTATTGAATATCCACAGATCTTTTGTGCAGAGAATGTGCAGTCAGTCCGAATGCTTCCTGAAATGTTGAGCTTGTAACACATGGTCTACAGAGCTCATTCACATGTATTTCCAACTGGGAAATCCCAGAGAAAGGGTTATAGCAGTCTGAGAGTTGAATTAATGTAGTTTTTTATCCTTAAGGACATCTCAGCTTGTCAGTAGTCAGGGTTTTATCCTCTGGAAATAAATTCTAAAGTTCTGCTTGGCTAACCTTAATTATTTGTCAATTTAATGTTTGCTTTCTCTTGTTTTCAGAGCAACTGATGTGAGCATGCTCTCATGACTTTGGAGTACCACCAAGCACCCAGAGGTAAATGCTCTTCTGGTTTTCTTCATCAGTCACTTCATATCTATCCACACTTCTTTTTTTCTTGGATTTACTGGACTCATTTAAAGGCTGTCTGCCATTATAGCAGTGGCCAGTTAGGTGAGATGCTGATAGACAAGGAGAGGTGATTTTGCCTTGAAGAGGGAGTCACTTGTAAGACCAAGTTTGGGTGGTGACCTCAAGTAGTGTGATGCCATCACCACAACCAACACAGGGAAGCTCACTGCTGCATCCTACATGTGGGCCTGAGGACACTGGACTGTTTCCAGTGTTAAATATAACATGGGTGAATTGTGTGTCATGTCACACAAATCTGAGTGTGAATCAGATCATATTGCAGTGAGAGAAAAAGCTGCTGTGGAAGCCCTTGAGACGCAGGTGCTGCGGGACCTGAGCACAGATGTAGTTTCAGGCTGGGGTGCAGTGTGAGGAAATTTTGTTGCCCAAGGGCAAAGCGTGCAGTCCTGAGTTTTCCTAGGGCAAGGCAGAATGCCCTGCCTGTGTGTCTGTGTGTGTAAGGGTGCATAGGTGCTATGGAGGGGGGAATGTGTGTCTGTGATGTGGGCAGGGGTCAGCCCTTCCTGAGTATGGAAACTGCACAGCAAGAAACTCACAGCTGTGTCAAGGGAGATCCCCAAGGAATGTGGGATTTCTCCTTGCCAGAGGAGATGGGGGTTCTTGCAGGAAAGCTCCATGGAGCAAAACCTCTCATCAGTGCTGGATGGAAGGGAAGGAGGTGGTCAGAGGGAGGTGGCATCCCCTCCCACCTGTCAAAGGGAAATGGGAGCTCTACCTTTGCTTGCACTGTGTGTTTAGATTTCAGGCTTTGCAGGCAGGCACTGTTCCTTACTGTTTGTACAGTCCTTGGCCCAATAAGTCCTGATCTTTGCCACCTCTGCAGTATTGATGAGTAATACCAGGCCCTGTAATATTGACTCTACAGCAACCCCTGGCTACATGGTCAGACAGGCTCAGAGAAGAACAAGAAGATCAGGAGAGTAATTCTGTTCAAATGTGAAGCAAGGGATGTGGGTACCCACTACTGAGGGTCAGAATGGTGGCAGAAATTAGTTTTCTGGAGGCAGCTGAATGAGATTTGACCAGTGACTAAAACACAGTATAGAGATGTTTGTAGGACAAGGAGGGCATCTGTCAATTGATTTCTCAGTGTCGGTGTTATAGGAAGAGTTTTTAAAACACTGGAATTAGTGTTTATATCTGGAATTATGAGAAGGGGTGACCGTTTGGCTGAGGAGTGAAAATGGAAGAGTGGATGTTGAGGAGCCTGGTGGACCCCAAGCAGTCAGTCTCTTCCTCTGAACCATGGTTTTCTAAAAAGGTATTGGTTTTGTACCTCTGAGATAACAGGTCAATTAGATTAATGACATATTTGAAGGAAACTCCTGACAGTGGGAACTCCCAAGCCTTTACTTGCAATGGCCTTCAAGGAAAAGTAATTACACTTTGCTCAGTTTGTGTATCAGTATTACATAGAATTAATGAGGTACCTCTCTCCTGAGTGTGTAGGTACTCTGCCCTTAAGATTAGCTCAGGGTAGAACTGATTGCTGCTCCTCCCAAGAGTTCAAATTCCCTAATACTTTCAGAGAGTCTTTGTTTCTCTTCCAGCTAAGCCAAAGCAGTGTGAATTCAGTGAATTACAATAAGCGAGACACTCCCTAGTGCTATTCTCAATCACTTTTGAGATTAGATCTAGGTCCCCTTTCCTTTGAAATAAAAGTAATCCATTTTTATGTGTTGCTTGCATTCTATGTTACTAACATGAAAAAATCAATATCAGGGCAGTCATTTCAGTGTTCTGCTTATTCTGGCTAATGCACACTATTCTCTCACTGAGGGAATTGAGAAGTTTGGATTCTTAAGATGCTGATGGTAGAGGACTCTTGAGATAAAAGTGAAAAGCAGAGCAGAAAGCAGGGAAAATAAGGCGACTGAGTTTAGGTGCTGGCATTATTTGGCATGTTTTCTAAAAGTAGTTTTTTGACCAGAAAGAGCATTTGGGCACTGCTGGTTGCATTAATTCTGTTTTGCTCTTTCCATCCATCCATCCATCCATCCATCCATCCATCCATCCATCCATCCATCTCATATTTATTTTTGATCTAATGTGCATACCCTTTTTAATCTGTTCTTGTATTTAAGGTGTGCTCATTAAAAACCCTAAAAATCCATCTAACAACACATGAAGGACAAGTGATGGCTTCAATCCTTTGGAACCATCTGAAATGCCATTCCTCATCCTGTCGGATTTTGGGATACTTTGTTGTTGTAGTGTTAGAAATTTGTCAGGCAACAAGCAACAAATCATTGGCTTGCTGACTTTTCAGCTAGATACCAGAAGTTCCCTATCTGGGCCCTTTTCCTTTTGATCTCACAATCTGGGTGTGTGACCTTGTGGGTCTCTTGTTATCTGCGATTTCCCTAGGGGTGGGGGGGTGTTTGTGTTGTGTGTTCTCCTTTGCATTCTTTGTGAACATTTTATAAAGGAAGTGGATTTTGGGTTTTTTTAGGTTTTTTGTTTGGTCGGTTGGTTTTGTTTTTTTTTTTAATAGGAGACAGAGAGTGCCTGGAATATCACCTATCACCTAGACATGAGTCTAGGGGGCCGCTCACTTGTCTCCTTCTTTGAAGAGATTCTGATCATATTTCCCTACATAAGCTGCTCCCCAACAGTGATAACATGAGTGCAACAGAGTGTCTTACAGCATTGACTATTCCTGTTAGCTTGGCTGCATAATTATACAAGAACAAACAATCAAACAAAAGATCTACACCTGAATTCAGAGGTCCTTCAATGGAGAAACATCCTGGAATTTCAAGATGCTCTTAAAAGCAGTGAAGACACCACCATTGCATTGCAATGGTCCTTCTTTGCATCCTTCCTATTAATCAGCTCTGTTTTTTCCTTATTCATTTCAGACACACATTGAGCAATCTGATGGTTTACTCTTGTTGTCTGGTTATCTTTGAATGAAAGACACAGTTCAGCTTTCACCTGAAGAAACTGGGTCCTATTTCTCTCTTCTTTTTCTCTTCACATTCTTTAGTACGGCTGGTGGTTGCCATTCCCTAATATTTTTTTTCTTCCTTTTCTGCTTGACTCCTAGTATGTTTATTTCCTTTTGATGCAGATAAGGATATGTACCAAAGTGCTTGGAGTTAGATACTTCAACTAAACCACCTAAAACAGACACATGAAGAAACAATGCTTATCAGAGTTACAGTTGTTTTTAACCAAGAGAAGAAACTTCCAAAAATCAGCATTTTGAATTTTATTAAATTGTTCTTACTTTCTGAAAAACATGGTTGGATCCCTTTCTTGTGGGCTTATGACAAGGAAGGAGAAAGTGTGTGTGAGACAGAAGAAGGAACATAAATAAATGTCCATTCTTTTATTTATTTTTCCCACAAAACCAAACAGTCAAAGAATATTCAAATGTGGAAATTTCAGTTGAGATTTGAAAAGCATATTTTACCATATAGAGTGCAGTTCTTGGCTTTTATCTGCACTTGTAATACAGCTGGATACCTGGATGATCTTTCTTATCATTGGTCATGAGTACCTTAGGTCTTGCTGTAAGGACCAACACCTGGGTGCAGAAATCATCCCTGACTTCTGGTGCTCCAGGGAATGAATTGCAGTCTGGTCCCTCTCTGGCTCAGCTCCACTCAGCTCACTTCTGGGACAATGATGGTTTGGACCACCAGCTCCATACTATAAAATGGCAGCCCAAGCTAAATGCCTCCAGCCTCTCACCTTCAGGGTAGAGGGTGTTGGGAAGCCACCAGGGAGCATCACAGACCTGAGTGGGCTGCATGATTTTCTTGGAAGAGCAGGTGGGTGACATGGAGATTGCTGCACCTAGTCAGCGGTGCCATGTGCCTTTCTGTAAGTGGGCATGTGCTTGGCCTTGTGCTGGTGGCTAAAGAGATGGGGGATGCACCCTTGGGCAGCCTCAGCAGCCCCTCAGGACCTCAGCTCTGTGCCTGTATGTCTGCTTGTGTGCAAATTGCCAAATAAAGGTAGAGCTGGAGCATGGAGTCACAGCAGGCTCTCCCTGCAGAAATCACTTCAAGGTCAGCAGGGTCCTTTAGTCCCACATGCTTGCTCCCCACAGCTGTAGGATCTGTGACATGAGATAGAGTCTAGAGCAGGTTAGGTCAGGAGAAGGGCAGTATTGTAGATGAGACAGGAATTAGTTGTCACCTACAACTAGATCTGAAGTGATGGGACAAGATGAGTGTGATTGATCACCGAGCCACCATGACAAAGTGGAGGAAGTAAGAAAAAGGATTATAGTAAGACTAGGAAATCTTGTATTTTGGGTGACTATACTTGTTCTTGCTTCAGTTAAAAGTACTTGTCAAAGCTGTAGTTACTGGTGAAAAACTTCTCTGGTGGAAGAGCAGAACCTCCTGAAGGGTTTTGGTGAAATAAAGGCAGTAATTGCCATGACCTGTCCATAGATGGGGGTTCTTCCAGTAGTAACAGATGAAATGGAAAGGCAAAGAATGGTTCTCTTCAGCCTGCGACATATTCACAAGCCAAAGCTATTGCTGTCCAAAGCACTCTGCAAAAGTCAAATCAGCACAGTGGTAACTTTCTTCTGTTTTGTGCAGAAAAAAATAAGTTCCTGCTTTGAATTAAACCAGATGGCCCAGGCTTGAACTGAAAAAAACCCCACACAGTTGCTCCTATAAATTTGTTTCTTCTTTCAGGAGACCGAAAACTGGGTGTGAATTCCAGGGAAAGGGTTAAGTAAGTGTATCAGGAGACTGTCAGCCATTGGTCTGACTTTAAAACAAGGTGCCGGAGGGCATATCTTAACTTGACATGTTGCATTGTTAATTTACAGTTTGGGTGTGGAGGGACCTGCCTTCCCTTCTTTGTAATCTATGCAGGTGTGCACAGGACTTCAAAGCCATTTGCAGCGGAGCTTATGTCTGTGAGAAAGGCTCAGC